TTGAATCAATCAGTGGCCCCTCACGAGAAAGATAGTCGATCACCTCTGGAGCAATTTATAGACTCAGAAATCCAAAGATGGGTCAGCTGGGGGCAGATTCCTACACAATGGCAATAAAAGATGGATAAAATGCGTAAATTATTTGGTGTTCTTATAAAGTCAGAGTTTCAAATTGTCATATTAAAATTTGTTATAGTAACACAAATTAAATATTTTTATAACTACCATTATAGCACCTAATACAGTGAGTAAAAAACCTCCAGAATCCAGATTCTTACTTATATCCATATTAAAATGAATAAAAATTCCAAAGCCAAGGAAGTGAAGAGAATTAATTTATTCATTTTAATTGTAGATTATTTAATAAACTTAAGTAACACCAAGAAAACAAACAGATTCATCCTGGAGAGGATTAAACCGGGCTGCTCCTTGGAGGCAAGGATTCTGAGGCTTCATCTGACATATTTTGGACATGTTGTAAGGAGAGACTGATCCTTGGAGAAGGACATCATGCTTGGTAGGGTGGAGGGCAGGCACAGGAGGGGAAGGCCCTCTGGGAGATGGATTGATTCAGTGACTAGGGCAATTGGGATGAGTGTGTCAGAGACAATGAGATTGGCACAGGACAGAGCAGAGTTTAGGGTTGTTGTACATAGGGTCGCAAGCAACTCGACAGCACATAACAACAACAACAACAACACCCTAGCTGACTCAACTAATTTATTCTATTTCTTCATAGAAGTACTTCAAAGTCCAAAATAAATTCCTAATTATAAAATAAATTCCTAATTATAAAAGGTATCTTGATCTCTGTAAAGAAACTAATTTATCTGTGTAGGCAAATAAGGCAGCATGCCCAGAGTTTTAGTAGGCTTGTTCACAGGTCTACAGTAAATGGTTGTGGAGATGGGATGGAGACCGGGGGGAAAGTAGATCAGAGCACATCAGCATTCGGAGAGTGCTTCTTACAACTGCAAATTTTTTATTTTATTCAATAAGAATGTATAGCCATGGAGCTGGATATCTGAATTTTAACAATGCTTCCAGGTGATTCAAATGCAAAACAAAGTTTGAGATCCACAGGTTTTGCACTTCCATTACCTCCAGTATCCTCCCCTCTGATAGGAGGCCCCTAATTAACCCATGCCTATTTAATAATCTCTTAGTCCCAAGGTATAAACTAAACATGAGAGTAAATAGGATTGAAGTGGAAAGCTGGAAGAAATCTGAAAATTGAATCTTTTCTCCTCAAGGTCCCTTGGCTCCCAGACTGTGAAAAGAATTACTTAGGCTTGAAAAGTTGGAGGCAAAAAGAGACCACAGAGGCTTAAAAGTATTTTCATTACAGTGGCAACTATTTTAAATACCTAATTGAATGTCTGGAAATTGCAACAAAAGTTGTTTGACGTGGAATTCTTTTACATACTCTATGATTCCTCTACTCTAAACCAAAGCCAAAGAACAGACATTCAGGCAGAAGATGATAGAGATAGAGATAGAGATAGAGAGAGAGAGAGAGAGACAGAGATAGATACTACTTACGTATATTATATATATACTAATTATGTATATTAATATACTAATAATGTATATAATTTATACTCCTTATGTATATCATATATACTACTTATGTATATTATATATATATACTACTTATACTTATTATATGTATATTATATATACTACTTATGTATATTATATATACGACTTATGTTTATATATACTACTTATGTATATTATAAATATACTAGCTATTTGTATTATACACACACTATATATATTATATATACTACTTATGTATATTATATATATATATATACACACTACTTATGTATATTATATATAATATGTATATTATATGTATATGCACTACTTATGTATATAAGTGACCTTATGTAGAAGGCCATGTCTTATACATTTATAAGAGACCTTGTTTGGCATATTTTTGTCATGTTATTAGGAGAGGACAGTCATTGGAAAAGGGTATCACACTTGGAACATTAAAACGGTAGCGAAGGAAAGACTCTTAATTAGACAAACTGAAAAGTAATTGAAGCAACAGGGTTAAGCACAGCAGAAATTGTGAGGATGGCACATGACTGGGCAAGGGCTATATTCTGTTGTTCAGATATAGATAGGGGCACTATGAATTGGGATATTGTTCTGTAGTTTTCACACTCAGTTGGGTCACCCTTCTTTGGGATGGGAACAAATATTGTCTTCTGCCAGTCAGTTGGCCAAGTGGTTGTTCTCCAGATTTCTTGGCACAACTTGGTGAGCACATCCACGGCAGCATCTGTTAGCTGAAATATGTCAATTGGTATACCATCTATTCTGGGGGCCTTATTTTTTGCTATTTCCTTCAAAGCAGCTTGAACTTCTGCCTTC